CATGATCCAGACTCTCAAAAGCCCCACCTATGAGTGCATGAGGCTTTGGAGGGGGGAACATCTAGATATAAGCCAAATTAGCCATAAAAGACAAAGAAAAGCTAAGGAAAGGTTTTAGACTAGAGACTAGAGATATGAAAAGAGACATGACAACCAACAGCACTGCATGTTCTTGGGATGGATTCTGGAGCAGAAGAAAGAAAAATTTGTGTAATGAACATTATTTAAGGGCTGGGGTGTGGCTCAGTGGTAGAATGCTTGCCTAGCATTCCCAAGGCCCTGGGCTTAATCATCAACACTTTAAAAAAAATCATTTAAAACAATTGGCAATATTTGAATATGGGTAGAAGTAAATAATATTGTTAATGTTACATTTCCTAATATTTGTTTGTTTGTTTGTTTGAGACAGGGTATCACTATGTAGTGAGACTGACCTGGAAATCACTGTGTAGCCCCGGCTGGTCTCGAACTCACAGTGATCCTCCTGCCTCAGCCTCCGGAGTGCTGGGATTACAGGCGTACGCCACCACGGCTGGCTTACATTTCCTAATATTATTACACTATTTATATAAAGGAATCTCCTTTGATCTTAGACACTCATGATGATATATTTAAAGATAAAAAGTCATGATATTTAAAACTCTCAAAATATGTAGTTGGAAAAATATGATAAAACTAAATGTGGTTTATAAGTCAACTTTCCCTTTGCTAGGATAAAATACTCAACACCTGAAACTTAAAGGAGAGGTGTATTTTGGCTTACAATTTTGAAAGTTTCATTCCATGATCAGTTGGCTCCAAGACAGGGACATCATGGCAGAAGGGCATAGTGGCTCAAAGGTGCTCACTTCATGGCAATCCAGAAGCAAAGCACGGGGAAACAGCACCAGAGAGAAGGGGGTCAGAGACCAGACATAGTTCCCAAGCTCATACACCCATGACCACCTAGACACACCCAAAAGTGTGTTTTATTAATGTCAAACGAATCAATTGGACAATCAGGATGGGTCATGTGTGGCAAAAAGTTAATTTAACCATTAGTGAATTTGGGGAAAGGGCACCTGGGAGTCCCTCATGGTAGTCTTACCACTTCAAATTATTTCAAGTAGCATTTTTTAAACCACAGCAATAGCGGGGTGCGTGTGTGTGTGTGTGTGTGTGTGTGTGTGTGTGTGTGTGTGTGTGATTAGGGATTGAACACAGGACTTCACACTCAGCTACATTCACAACCCTTTTTTAATTTTTTTGAGACAGGATCTCACTAAGTCACTAAATTGCCCAGACTGGGCTTGAACTTACAATCCTGGTTCAGCCTCCCAGCATGCAGGAATTACAGGCATGTGCCACCACATCTGGCTCAGCAATGACACATTTTTAAAACGGAATATATAAGGCAAACCAGTGTCGCAAAATGTTGATGACAAGTGAGATCAGAGATTAGGAGTGTATTGTGCCACTCTACAGTTTTATATGTGTGCACATTTTAAACTTTCTTCCATCCTTGAAAAGGACATGCATTCATGCACGTAAAAGCAAACGCAGGTGCAAATCCTCAAACCTTCCAGACATTCTCTACATGACAGGCACTACTCAGACCATGCCCTCTGGATCCTCTTAGCACTTTGTCAACACATTGTGGAATAAATGCTAGATGTAAAATTGATAGAGTCCTAATCCTTTGGATTGCATGCTCCCAGAGATGTTGAACATGTCTTATGATGCTTCCTCATACTACTACTTTATGCTGTAGCCTAAAAAGTTTGGGCTTAAATTTCCCTACATTGAATTGTTTTTATGTCAGATAGCCACTCTATTTCAATCTAGTATGTAATGAATTATTTGAAAAGAATGAATAATTGCTTCATAAAATGATTCCCCCTATTTTATCTTTTAGGAGAAAATTACAAATTTCAAAATATTATGTTTGCCTAAGGAGATCTTAGTGAAGTCAAAAAACTATGCTTTATTGCTTGGGTTCTTATCAGGGAATAGACATTGGTTTTAAGCAAGGAATATTTTTTAAAGTGTTTAATGTTATTGTCTATCTAGATTCAGTGATCAATATTTAAGATTCAACAACCAATATATCTCCATATTTAAAGAAAATATGAAGGATATTGCCACAGAATGTAACAGTCCAATATATAATCAGTAAAGTCCAATGTGAGAAATTCTACTGGTTAAACAATCTAATTCAATAAAATGGTACCAAAACATGTTGAAAGAAGTGTTTTATAGTCTCATGAGCAAGTCAGCCAAATGCAATGAGTGAATCTTATTTAGATCTGCATTTGAAGAAATGATAAATCAGAGAGTACTGAAGACCAATGAGATATTTAATGCTAGGCAATTACAGCTACTTTTTGTCAAGTGTGGTACAGCCCTGTGGTTTTGTCAAAAATGAAAACAAAAGTCCTGATCTGCCAAAGACCTAAGTATTTATGGGCAATACTATGTTGCTCATGATTTTCTAAAAATTCCCAAGTAACAAAGAATAAATATAGTATCTGCTCAAGTGGTTATGAAGTTTATTGTTCTAACCTCTCTACTTTTGTTTGAAGATTTCCAACTAAAAGACCTGACATTTTTGTAACTGAACTTGACTTGTTCTACCCATTACAACTGTGCTGGGGGCCTTCTCCATTTCAATTAAAGGCAATTTCATCCCTCCAGTCGCTCAGGCCAAAAACCTTAGAGTCATCCTTGTCTCTTTTCCTTTGGTCACATGTCTTTGTCAAATCAGCCAAGAAATCCAATTTGCTCCATATTCAAAATATATTCAATAGCCATGCATGGTGGCATATGCCTGTAATCCCAGCACTTTGGAAGGTTGAGGCAGGAGGATCCCAAGTTCAAGCCTGCCGAGGGCAATTTAGAGACACTTAGCAAGACACTGTCTCAAAATCATTAAAAAAAAAAAAAAAAGCAATGGAGTTGTAGCTCAGTGCAAAGGCCATGGGTTCAATCCCCGGTACTGAAAAAATAAAAAATAAAAATCCAGCACCTACTTATCACTCTATTGATGCTACCCTAGCCCAAGACACTGTTCTCTCTCATCTGGATTATTACAATCCCCTCTTCACTGCTTACCTAGAGCCCCACCTTTCTGATGATCCATTCGCAACATCTAAGTGAAGACTAAGCCTTGTGAAGTATAAGGGAGAGTATTTCATTCCTTTGCAATGGATACCATTACACTCCAAGGAAAACCAAGTCTTCACCAAGGTCTACAAAGACTACAAGTATGGTCCCACCATTACCTTCCTGTCCTTATTTCCCACTCTTCTCTCCCTTTGCTATATCCAGACCAGCTCCCTCATAGCTCCCCAAGTATGGCAGTCAGGCTCCCATCTCAGGGCTTTTGAAGTGATCACCCTCTCTGCCTAGATATTTCTGTCAGATAACTGCACTGCTAGCTTCTTACCTTCAAGAGTTTGCTCAGATTCACCTTCTATTGAGACCTACCCCGACCACCCAACTCAGCACTCAACTCCCTTTCCCTGCTTTTATCTTCCTCCAAAGCTTTTACTACTGTTCCATATAGTACATCTAAATGACTTATTAAGACAGAATCTGACGATATTGTCCAGGCTGGTCTCAAACTCCTGGGGTACAGAAGTGCCCCCCAAGTACTCAGATTATGGGCATGCACCACCATGCCCTTAATTCACTTATTTTAGAAAGTTCCCTATCTCCTCCACCAAAATGGAAACTGAAGGATAGACAGGTAGCGTTTATCTCCAGTAACTCAAACAGAATCTGGCATATAGAAAGGACTCAACTGGGGTAACCCACTTTCTGGTCCCCCTTCTGTCTCTCTTGGAAGCTTCCTTTCCCTCAATAAAAATTTCCTCTAAAAAAAAAAACAGAAAGTAAAAAGAAAGGACTCAATAAATACATGTTGAATTGAACAGAAATAATCTGGATAGGAAATTAAGGAAGATCTTAGGAAAATGTACTTTTTGTTAAAGTGTAAACACAGTAGGTAATGAAAATTAGGATGTTACGGCTTATATCTAGATGTCTCAGGCCAGGGATTTAGCTTAGTGGTTCTGCCGCCTGCCTCCCAGCACAAGGATCTGAGTTTGATCCCTGGTACAAAAAAAAAAAAAAAAGATGTCTCCTCCAAAGCCTCATGCATTCATAGGTAGGGTTTTCAAAACTGGCTGGATCTAGGGTGTGATACTGTAATTAAGGCTACTTAACTAGTCCACTGATTGTAATTAGCATAGTTCTAGGTGGCACCACCCAAAAGTCTGGTAGCCTGCATGAGATAAAAGGGAAAGAAAGGCTACTGGTTGTTGCTTGCTGACTTTTGCCTGCCATGCCATGAACCATTTCTCCTCTGCGGTGCTCCTCTGCTATGTTGCCCTGCCTTGGAGTCAGCCTAGACTATGGACTGAAACCTTTAAAAATTGTGAACTGAAATAAACCTTTCCTTTTTTATCTTTCATTGTCTGGTATTTTGTCTCAGCAATAAGAAAAGTAGCTAAGACAAAGGGCTACATAAAATTCCTTATAAAACTAAGAGCACTTTACTTATCTTCCCTCCGCTCCTTGGAGACAGAGTCTTGCTATGCAGTTCAGGCTGGCTTCAAACTCACAATGATCATCCTATCTCAGCTTCCTGAGTGCTGGGATTAAAGACATGCACCACCTCATCTGGCCTCATTTCTTAAAAAAAAAAAAAAAAAAAATCAAAGTTTAAGGAAGGTATGGATAGAGAAATCAGGGCCCTGGAAGCTTATCCTAAGCTATCCAACGAGTCAAGGTTTAAGTTTCCCAGCATGTGTCCAGTTAGATTACAATTCTAACATGTCTGCTAAAGTACCTCTTTCGAGTAAGATACACAATCTCCATAAACAGCTGCCCCTCTAAAGGAGCCAGGATTCCCTATACAGTACAATGAAACTCCACTAAATATTTTTTTTTCTACTAAATATTAAAACTAGTCTGAGACCTCAAAGAAACTCAATTTACCTCGCTTCAAACCTACACTTTGCTATTTCAGTTCTACTGGCTGTGGCTTGGGAGTAGGTGACCGCATTGGCTCATGTGGGATGGAGGAAGCTGTAAGGCAAGGCAAGACACAAGTGAGGCCCAAAGCAGGATTCCGTGTGAATAGGACTCTAGGGCTTCCAGCACCACGTAGAAGCTAAATGAGGAGCTGACCCTCCCAACTTCTTACCCTGGGAGCTCCAAGCAGGGAGAGGCACAATTTTTTTTTTAATTAAAAACATTTACAAACAGAATTACAAACAAACAAACAAAAAAGATATACTCCCTACCCACAGAAGAAAGGTAGGCTAAGGGAATCCCTCAACAACAGGGACAGATGAAATTTATCCCCATAGCCTTCAGCTGAGACAGAGGCCAATGTAACTGAAGCAAAAATCACTGGAGGGTTATCGCAGCTCCAGAAAGGGAGAGATCTGTGAAGTGGCAATGTTTCCCTAAGGTCCAGGAGGCACATTCCTGGGGTTAAAGGCACATTATTGAAGAAAAGACCCCTGTATGTAGAGAAGGAAGGAATCTTCTCTGGCACCGACAGTAACAAAATTTACTGGTTGAAACGATCCTGAATCTTGGAAAAAGAGGAAGCTTTATGTATAAATCTCTTCTAGTTCCTCATTTTCAGGAGAGTTGGCAGCTTGTCATTCTTTTTCAGTCTCTCTAGCCCTCAGATGAGTTGGTGACTTGTATAGGAGCACAAGGAAGACTTGGCAACAGCAGGGCAAGGCTGGAGGCTGGACCCCAGGAACCTGGGATCATGTGCTGTGGGCTGGCTTCAGTAGGCGGATGAGTTTCCTGCAATGTCTGACAGATGCAGGCCTGGAACTGCTTTCTGGCTGTAACTGATTTCCCAGAGCAAGCAAGGCTAATTTCTCACTGGCACCCAGGGACACCAGCACCTGTGGAACACAGCAGACGACCAAACAGGTCATGAGGCTCAGAAATGGTGCTGTAAAAGGTATTCTTTAGACCACTAATGCCCATTTTAGAAAATGAAGAAAAAGAGATGGGTTTGGGGGACTCAGAATAGACTGAAAGGAATCTGGGTATGACCGCACATGTCTGTAATCCCAGCCTTCAGGACAGACTGAGGCAGGAGGATCATTACAGTTTCAAAGCCAGCCTGGGCTACATAGAGAGATCCTGTCTCAGAAAAATAAAATAGGCTGAATGGGAGAAGATCAATCAACCTTGGAGACAGGAATCATGAGGACCAGAAGTTTACTTCCAGTATCTTGGCTGCAGAGCATAAAACCAAGGCATCAAGGGACCCACCCATCCACTTGTCCCCAGGAGCCAAAAAGTTTGAATTTCTAGCCTTGGGCCTAGTGGGTCCCAACCTGATCTTTCATTCTCAACCAAGAATCTTTTATTATTTCTCCATGTGGATTGCCAGAAATGCCTACAATATCACTACCATCCTGCCAAATTTCTTTTCTTTAGGAACAACCCAGAATCACCATATTGAATCATTATAATGTGTTATCTTAGGCAGATAATGTGATTTCCACTGGGCTCCTCATGCGTTGAAAATTGAACAGAAATGGCACAGTAAGGCCAAAGTTCAGAGTATGGGCTCTGGTCCCAGATTCCTGAGATTTTTGTATATTTGTAACATGGACAAGTTACTAAATTCTTCATACCTCAGTTCCCTCACCTGCAAAATGAGGGTAATAAGAGCTTAAATTAGATAATAAAGGTAAAATGTTTAGCACAACTAAAGAAATAGTTGGCACCTTCATGGCCTTAACATCTTCTGGTCTTCCCTCATCTCCCTCCTGTTCAGCCTCTGGAAGTCAGAAGCTGTGGTCTTTGAGATCTCAGGCATGTTCTAGATCCTCTCCCTTCTCTAGGCGGGGAGATGGTAAATGGAAAACTCTTTGTGCCTGAGCTCCCTACACCCAGAGAGGAGGAAAGCTTGGATTTCTTACAGATTATCTCAGAGAAAAGTTGTACAGTACAGGGCTCTGATCACCATAGTTCACATGTCCCTTGGGCCATACCTGATGGATGCAGGGCTCCTGCTGGAGGGTTCTGAGGGCAATGAGGGCAGCTTCCTTCACATTTGGCTGAGAGTCTCCACATGCCATCTCTAGGAGCCGCTGGGGTACTTGGCACTGGAGTAGCTCTTCCCCCAACCCCTCAGGGCCCAAGTTGCCCAGAGCTGATGCAGCATTGCACCGAATACCAGCCTGAGCATCTCCAAGTAGCTGGGTCATACTGGGCACTGCTGCTGCCAGGGCAGGTCCCAGGGGACCAGCCTGGTAAGCTGCATTGCCCACAGCAAAGCTGGCACTGCGCCGCACAGTGGGGTCCTTGTCTCCTAGGCCCAGCAGCAGAAGGTTCAGCAGTCCAGCCTGGCTCTGTAGTGCCCCACGGAGGGCCATGCTGTGTTGGAGCAAGTGTCCCAGGAGCCCATAAGTACGGGTCCGCACAGAGTTCTCTGAGTGGCCCAGGAGGATGCGCAGGGGTCGATAGGATTCATCAGAGCCAGCCAGGAGTTCTTGAATGAAGAACAAATGGCTGGGAGACAGTACTCGGACTGTGTGAGCCAGGAGGGAGAGGAGGTCAGAGGTCAGCAGTGGCTGGTCACTCAGGAGGGCAACAGAGAGGAACGAGATGATAGTTCTAGGGGAGGCAGCCACTGTATTCACAAACTGGTTGAGAGAGGTGGGATCCATGAGGGCCAGGTGTGTGAGGAGGCTGATGGGCAGCTGGACTTGTGACAATGGAAGATGGTGGCAGCAGACCTGGGAGAACGGAGTATGGGGATGTAGTAAAATAAGTTTAGAGAAAGGGAGAGTTCACCACTTCTAGGAAGGAGGAGCCTAAAAGCTGGAGAAAAGCCAAGCTAAGGAGAGCTAGAAGTCCAAGTCCGGCCCCAAAGCACACTATATGAAATGCATGTAAAATCAAGAGAGCCCCTTCTTTTCAAGTTCACTCTTTAGTCTGCAAAGGCTCATCTCTGCCTTGAAAAACCTATGGCTTAATACCAAGAACTACTAAGGAAGTAACTGAGCTGAGCTTCTAGTGTTGGGACTTAGATATTCTCCCCTCTAAGCTCCAAAAGAATCAAGTAAAGGGCTGGGGATTTAGCTCAGTGGAATCTGGTACCAAAAAAAAAAAAAAAAAAAAAAAAAAAAAAAAAAAAAAAAA